TATGATCAATGTTAGCTCGTCGTGGGGGCGGACCCTTCGCCGTCGGATCCAGACGCTCTCAGTCGTCGCATGCCTTGGTGAAGGACAGGGTGGCGACGGAGGAGTTGAGGAGGCTTCTGTCGGAGGTGGCGGAGACCAACCAAGCTCCCTGAAGTTGTTGGCGGTCAATACCACTAGCCTCCGACCAAGTCGGGGCGTACGCATTCCAGATCGACGGCCAATACTATGCTTATACTACAATGCCAATGGGAGCTACCAACGCGCCCAAACACTTTCATGCTGTTATGGGAAAGATACTAGCCAAGTTACCATTCGCCAACGACATTAGATACTACCAGGATGACATCTTCATCTCTGCCACCAACTCTAAGCAACTACGCCAACGTTACCAAAAAGCCATAGACTACCTAATCAAATGCAACTTCCAAGTCAACAAACTCAAATCCCAACTTAACTGTACAGATCTACTAGGGTACACCTTAAACAACCACCAACTATCAATACCAGAACCAAAATGGAAACGAATAGAGGAACTACTCAACTCGAACAACCTAGATCTAATCAAAAGAGCTGCCCAAACGCTCTCCTACTACAAACATGCTCTATCAGAAAGCCAACAATTTACCATACGCAAACTGCTAACCAACAAGGTTAAAGACTCTGACATATTGACCGTATACACCAAAGCCTTAACTGTTAAACCTAAGAAGACCTTCTCCGCATCAGGGGAACCACTCAAACTATACCTAGACTCCTCGAATACAGCTGCGGGACTTGTACTCAAACAGGCAGACAATACACTACTAACCGCCTCAATACCATTACCCGCAGTACACAATTACGCCAACTCGAACGAAGCCCAAGGGGCGTATATGTTAATCAAGAAGTACCTTAACCAGATTAAAGACTACACGAAAACTGCTAAGACTGACCTTCAGGTCTTTACGGATAATGCATTACTAGCCAAGGCTCTAACGAGCCCTTTAAAAATAGACCCTATAACCGAAACCATATACTACGCACGCAAGTTAAGAATACTGCTCGACTCAATAAAATCAACTAAGACTACATACCATTATATACAAGGAAGCTTAAATCCAGCAGACAAACCATCCAGAATACGACTTAAGACACAAGACCGAAAGAAGAACACAACTCACACTAAACAATTATACAGAAGAATTTCCGCACACAACGGGGCATACTACACTTCATATCGCACACAGAATGCCCGCACACAACTTAGACCACAATTACCGATTCCAGATCGCACACGATCTAGATCAGATCTAGATCTAGATCTGGAGGAAATACCTGAGAAATCAAGAAAAAGATTGATAATCTCTGAGACTACGAATACGACCGAACCAACTCAGATCACGGAGACAGACACAAAGAGACGGCGTCTCCCCACCTATGACTGAATAAAACAAAATTTTATCATCTTTTTCCAACGCAAAAACTGAACTTCAAAGTTGATCTATTACCAATCTGAATTTAAAAATATGACTTTAGTCGGTTCCAACTACCAATTAATTTTTTCACAAATTGCTACTGCTATATCGACCTGTACTGACCCCGTGGCTAAGATTAATCTACAGATACAACTACGTAACCACATCTATGAATCCCTGAAACAATCAGGGAACTTCGACGGATTTACGCTACGCCTAGAATGGGTCATGACCAAAAACCATTTACAACTAACTAGCAGAGAAGTAGCGAACCTATATGCTCTTGTTGCTAAGGCCGGTATCACCAGAGGCTTGGCGCTATTTCAAAACGGTGCCACAGCCAGAATAGGACCATCTACCAAATCCCACTATGATCAATGTTAGCTCGTCGGTGGGGGCGGATCCTTCGCCGTCGGATCCAGACGCTCTCAGTCGTCACATGCCTTGGTGAAGGACAGGGTGGCGACGGAGGAGTTGAGGAGGCTTCTGTTGGAGGTGGCGGAGACCAACCAAGCTCCCTGAAGTTGTTGGCGGTCGAGCAGCACCCGACCGCCGCCTCTTGCTCCTCCTCCCGTTCCCCCTTCTTGGCCGCCTTCTCCTCCTTGGCTTCGTCAGCAAGTGCCAGCTGACGAGCCACGCGCGCCCACACAAGAAGAACCCACACAAGGCTCGCCCCATCGTTGGATTATGGATCAAGAAGAACCCATCGATTAATG